TACAAAATCACCAAAGTTATTACACTTCATCCTGACGGGGACATGAATGTCTATACCAAATGTCATGGCAGCCCATCCAATCATCAGCTGTAGTCCTGTTCATATGTGTTTAATTTAACGAAGGGTCCTTGACGTTATCTCAACACGGTTTCCCCTGTCATGTTTTGCTCTCTCCAGATGTGGTGTGGCCCCATGTCATGCCACCTGGGTGCCAAAGGTCGAGGCGGGTGTCCTTCAGGCCAGAGCTGCATCCCCATCAGGGAAAACCACTGCTTTGTGAAGTCCTGCCTCAGCCTCGGAGAGTGCTGGCACTCCAACCCTCCCCCGCCTCCCACCAAATGCCATCCTAGCTCCAGTTATCAGGACAACAGCTGCGCCAACATCACCTTCACCTTCAACAAGGAGACCATGCCTCGAGTGAGTTACCTAGGCACCAGAGAGGGAGAGAGTGAATGAATGAAAGAGTCTTTGGGGTTATGTTTCATGCCTCTCCTCCACTGCCACGCTTAAATGATTGGGAACAGCAATCTGTGAAAGTTTTTCAGAACTGCTGAACCATCCCTCCTGGGCAAAATTATTTCTAGTCTAAGACTCCTGAACAATTCAGTCATGTATTTTTAAAATGTGTTCCAGGAAGAAAAATGTGAGGATCTTTCTTTTTTCTCTCCCTGTCTTTTGTTGACTGCGTCCAACTTTTGGTGCTTCTGAAAATCAAGCATTCCCGACTTCGCAACTCATGCCAATTTCCTCTTAACCCGACCGCACTGCAAGATTAATTTCAGGATCATATGGATTTGAGCTAAACAGGACCACTGGCGACTCTGTCACCACATAGGATCATCACTCGCCAGTTGCTTAACAAGCATGACAGCAGATAGTGACAAGCATATGAGTCTGTGGTCTTTAATCTAAATGAGGTGGATCCCAACCAGATAGCATGTTGAACCTACTTCCAAAATGCAGGCCTAGCTCTTCCTTTTTCTTGATTGCCCTCTATTTTTCCATGTGCGTTAACATTTGTTTCATTTCTTCTTCGTGTACAGAGCTTGACTGTGGAGGATGTGTGTAAGCAGCTGAGGCGCTTGTACATAGTGAAGAATTTCTCCTTGGAGCATTCTGTGTCCATAACCTGTGACCCCTCATTCTCAGCCAGCAACGAGATCCACGTCTGCATCGTAAGTACCTCCCTCCCACTCCCAGTCTGCCATATGTTTGCCTCTATTAATGCATAGTCAAAAGAAATCCTCTTTGATTTATGCCCTGATGACCTTATTCTTAGCAACATAAAGACATGCTCTTATGGGACATGTGGTGGATTAAGGTTTGGTTGTTTTGTGTCATCAGTTGACAGCAGGTACACATGATCAATGGCCAGACAAACCAACAGATTTCAAACCTCACTTTCTTCTTGTCACTTCTAGTCTACCGAGGACCATCTCTTGGATCGGAGCCCCATTAAAGAGATCACAGACAGGATAATCGACCTGGTTAGCAAACGCAACGGGAATAACACCATCATCACTTCCATCGCAGAGGTGCGCGTGCCAAGCCCCAGCAAAACTGGTATGAACAGCCTCAAAACTCTGGTTGTTGCCTGTGAAGTTTTCCAGACTTGCACACACTTGCATTTGTAGAAAAAGGTGGGAGGACATTCTACTTTTTTTGAAAAGGTCAGATGAAATAGAGCCAATCCCTGAATATGACAGCAGGGCCGAGCACCAAAGAAAAACGTGCATGTGTGAAAAAGAATTCCTAATCCTCCCACATAACTCGGGCCGCCCAGGTCTGCCATCTCATGACAGTTGTAATGGAGCTTAAAACAAATCTAGCCAGGACTTCGATGGAAAGAGCAGAATTGCTTGGCTGCGTGGTTTTAGATTGGCTCGTACTGTGACTAGTGAGACTCCCGCATGTGTCCACCATTCATCAATATAGTGACAGCAGACTGCCGCCACGGCCAAATAGAAGCAGCCTCCTCCCCTGTTCAGGGCTGAGAGGTCAGGTTGCACTGGTAAAAGCATGCTAATGATTAGTAGTAGTATAATAAAACCTTTTGTGTATTGTTTGAATGATTGGGACTTGATTCTTACACAGTTGTAGCGTCTCTTTGACCTGTGATTGTCTTTTCTTCCGTCAGACTACCTAGTGCCCCTCCTCAGCTCCATCTTCATTGTCATCTGGGTCCTTGTGCTGGTCTCCATTTTGCTGTGGTGCATGCGGCGCCGGCGGAAACAGAGCAACCACAATGGGACGTCGGCCGCTGGCTCAGAGGACAACACAACCAACAATGTACGGGAGCAGCTCAACCAGATCAAGAACCCTATAGAGAAGCATGTGGGCCTCACGGTGGCCATCAAAGACTACGAAAACAAGAACTCCATCATTGCCAAAATAAGGACAAATCATCCCGAGGGGGATGAGGACGACAAGGAGAGGCACTTACAGAAGGGCCGCTTTACCAAACAGCCAGCATACACACTGGTGGAGAGGGACGAGAAGACGCCCATCTCCACATCCAAAAATCCCAACTGGACTAATAAACAGGACAACAGAGACTTGGAGACGGCAAACAGCATAAACAGGGTGGACTACATTGTATAGCAGACAGCTGTGTTGCTGTGCAACCAAGCCTTATGCCTTCACACCCCGGTGGTGGGTGAAACAGGGGAGCATTGGCATGTGTAGTTAGTAAACTGTCGTGTCAGTCGTGACCCCACAGTATTTTCAGATATTCCCCGTGTTAATTTAAGTTTTGACAAGCTGGCTTACACTGGCAGTGACGGTTGCTTTGGTTGGCTGGAAACACAAGGCACTGGTATACATTTCACTGTAGAACTAGTTGCAAAAGTGTCGTCCTCTGCATTTCATTTTGCTCTTTTTATTTTAATTTAGATTTAGTGGACACATGGAAGGGGCTCCTGATGTAATTGTTGTACAATGACTAAAACTACCCGACGTGTTCGACACTAGAGCTAATTATTTTCAGTATGTGGTTGAATTCTGTTTGGAGAAAGTGCCTTTTCAGCTTTAGACTTCAGCAACTGTCAAATGAGAAAAAAGATCAACTTTATTATTTATTTTGTTTTGGGGCGGGGGAGGGAAGGGTTCAATGTCAGCAGTTGCTGCCAGTATGAAGAATTTATGTCGATTTAGAACATGTAGATATGTACTTTTTTTTTTTTTTTTTTTTTTATTAATCATTGTGTATATTTGATTTATTAACTTAATAATCAAGAGCCTTAAGATATCATTCCTTTTTATTTATATGTTCTGTCTAGTTTGAAGGTTTTGATAGCTGTGGAAGCCTACAATTTCTTTCAATTACTTTTTTCAACGCATTCTATAAAAGCCAAATTTCAAAGAAAACAAAGGATGGGCACTTTTCGCCTGAAAGAAATGCTTTTGTTTTGTTTTTCCACACATTTGACATTTCATTATTTGTTGCCAGGACCTTGATTGAAGGCAAGTGAGGTTAGGACAACAAAAGATCCCGGCTGCTGAGAGGGACGGACATGGTGGCAGACATATTGCTTGCCACTAATGGATTAATACTTAAGGGAACAAAAACCCTTCAGCAGCTTCAGTTTAACCCATTGACACATTTCAAAGGTTGTCAAAATCCACCAACTTGCAAGGCAAGTCACATCAATGACACGCCAGAATTCCCATCTGCTTTAGTCAGCATAATATCATAAGCTAGACAGTGAGTACTTGAACAGTAGGGGGGCAATGGGAGCACTGTAGAATCAGATGATACACTGCCTTTCTCTGCAAGAGTCTGCTTTCTGTGCACATTTGTTTCTTTTTAAAAAATGAGGCTCTTACAGACAAACATGTTTTATCTCATTTAACCCTTTGAGATCATGGCAACATTTTGTCCTTTTTGACTTTTGTGTTATGAACTTGAGAATTGTGTTGATCTGGCAATATATTTTTGAAAGTCATATTTATTAAATATTTTGTATGAAAAGAGAATTAAAGTTGTCTTTGTTCTGGAGAGTGAGTTAAGAGTCTCTGTGATGCATCAAGCCAAACATTTTGGAGCATATGAAAGGTTTCTCATGCAGCTGGCGTGGGAACTGCTGCTGGAGAGACATCATAGACTTGAGCAAGGTCTCTGTCCAAATGTGTTTACAGCTAATTACGTTGTAGCAAGCCATCCTCATTAAGTCAATACTGGAGACATAAATACCCTCATTCCTCATGATCCCCAGACAATGTTGCCCTTGTTGGTCTGGTTTAAGTAGCAGGCTTAACTAAAAACTTTCAAACTAGAAGGCCTATGAAGCCTACATTGTAGTTCAACTGATTATCAACACTTATTGAGAATGACCTTAAACATGTTAGGACTTACCTTGCATTCATGTGGTGTCGAAATGATCTGAAAAACTAGTTCCTCACTGGGAAAAGTCACGTAAACGCCCCCCTTAAGTCGGAACAACTCGATACACGATCCACAACCAGCCAAAAGAAAGTAAATGTTGAGTTGATGACACTTTATTTTTGCTCACATACTGAAAATGGCTTAATATGTTTAAACGCTCTGCGCTAAAAAATACAACCTATCTTTGTAGTGACCATGTTGTTTCCATGTTACGACTTAAGGTCATGAACACGCAGAAGTCGAACGAACGACTTCCCAACGTGGGAAACCTTTCATGGAACATGTGAATGCACTACAAAAACAGTGGAGTCAGTTTCACAAATCCACCATATTGTCTCTGTCTTGATAAGAACAGAATTGGCGTTCTGCTAGTGACTCATCTCAGGTTACACCCGTTGATACTGAGGGAGACTGGGAACAGAGAAGTTTCAGAGAAGTGGGAACAGGTTTATTAGCAACATCAGTGTTGTTGGACAGACCTTCTCGCTGTCAAACTGCCATGAGCATCAGCCGGCCTGGACTGAGTGTGAGGAAAACAACGTGAAGACATCTACGTGTTATTTTATGTCGGCTGCTTCCCGAAAATGATCATCCTATTTGCATTTTTCCACAAAGATTCAGAGAGATAAACACATTTATTTACAGAATAAAATGCTTTTCCAGTAAAATTAAAAATCAGGAGTAATTTATTCAGGCAGCATTATGTCATCAAGTGGAACATCAGAGTATGAGTGGCTTTTGGCCCCTAGTTGCCCCATGCTCTCTCTGCACAGGGCAAACTGATTGATTATAACAGCCCTGACGAGTGTTGGAGCGACGACAGCATCTATGTTTTAACCTGTGGTACTGTAGACGTCCTGCTATTCCCAAATAAAACCACTAATATTTCAATATTACTCACATTCACACATATTTGGTTCAAGTTCAATATAAACGCTGCATAATAATACCCTCAAATTTAAAGATACATTTCAGGTGCTTAGCAACCAAGTAGAGAGCAAATTGTATATGAATGTAAACTAGCTAGAAAAATACATTTTTGAGAATGGGGTGATGAAATAAATCTGGAAACGGCAATCAATCACGCCAGAGCTTCAGCGGGGAAACTGGACAGTTTTCAGACACGTAGGAGCCAGTATTTCCGACTGAAAGCCATGACGTACTGCATGGCTCCTGCCTGTCTGAAATCCCCAATCTTTAACACAAAACCAAATCTAAACTCCAATTAAAGGTTTTTGACTTTCATTTGCGAGCCTTTCTTGACCACCACTTCTTATGGGTGGAGGCAAAGTCTGTTTCAAGTATTTGACAAAGCGTAACTCAAACGCTCATGTATCAATTGCCATAATATGTTCAGCATTTGAGAGGTGTGTGCGTGTGTGCGTGCGTGTGTGTGTGTCTGCTGCACTATTCACGGCACATGTGAAACATGCATATTGTAGTAAAATGTGACGCGTGTACAAATGCATGTCATCTGAGGAGACTGCATGGGGTAAACATCCAGCCTGACACAATATCATCTCTATCTCTGTGGCGTCAGGCATCTTTACTGTAGCTTGTCTCTCCCCCTCAGGACCTCTTCAGTCGTCGTAATCTAGAGGTTCTGGGCACATTTTCACTCCCCTCCTCTCCGAGTGTGGATCTGGAACTAATAGAGGAGCCTGAGGATGCAGGCTTGACAGATAGGCCCCTCAGACTTGCGGCCAGCCTGTTTTGGTTTGTCTGTGCCGTGTTATTGCTTGCGAGGGGGAGCCTCTGGGCCCGTTTCCCTAGAGTAAGCAGCTCTACTTCCAGTGTGGTTTTCTTGCACTCGGAGACTGGGAAAGCCTCGGACTCTGCCTTGGCTACCACTGGAGGAAGGGGTGGCAGAGGAAGAAGTTCATGCTTGGATGTTTGTGTGGAGCACGTGGTGGAGGGAGTTTGCATTGTGGCTGGAGGTCTTCCAAGGCACGTCCTCTTGGCCCTCTGTGGGTGAGGGTCTTCCCCCGCATCGCTCGGCTTGCACCTCTTGCTTGTCTCCTGACTGGTTTCATTTTGGCAGAAAACTACTGAGGCCCCATTTGGGTTGATGCTGTCTGGAGGACTATGCTCAGTTTGCTGCGCCTGGGTCAGATCCTGCTTTTGAGTAGTCACAATCAGAGCCATGGCCTCATTTAAGGAAATGGGGCAAGGCACCTTGTGGTATGCCACTGGGATGGCCTTCTGTCCAGAGCTGGACTCTTTTGGGCTTGATTCTGACTCTCCAGCTTTAAGTTCCCCTCTTTGGGTTTTGGGACAGGCTCTCTGGTCAATCTGCTGCTCCCCCATACTGGAACCACAGAGCTCTCGCTGGACACCAGCTTGTTTGGCTCTGAAAAAGTTAAAAGGATAAGAGGATATGAACAGATACTTGAGTGTCCTCTCTGACTGGTGGGGTTGGAAAGTTCTGCATTAGATCATACTTACATCTTTTGAAGCGCAGTCTTCTTTGTTTTTGTGGGGCTGTTTGAAGGTTCTTGGGTTTCTCCCACTCTGGAAAAATATTCCGATCTGCTTTGTTCACTCAGCTCAGTCTAGAGAGGACAAACAGAATCGGTGTAAACAAAAAATATTATTCCTGGCATCCCCTGGAAAGGTTTGGCCTTCACAGCAGACTGTTGTCATCATCTGGCATTGTCAGAATTAAAAAACAATCACTAGACTTCTGTAACATTGATAATATAATGAATAAAATCAGACAAAACAATCCAATATGATTAAAAAAAAAACAACAACTTCTGATTCTCTTGAATCCCAAATAGTATTTGAACTATGATACAGTACAAAAGGAATGTTTTCTATAATGCCTTCAGAGACACTTATTAGCACCCCAGCTAGTGCAAAGAATCACTCCCCGACTTAATAATGCACAAAGCAACCACCTCAAAGGCTACAAAAATAATCACCGGCTTGTCATTGGGGAACTAATGTTTCATAATCTCCACTGTCTGAGGCTTGGAGTGATGCTTGCAGCCTGAGGCAGAATTACTAAATGGTGAAACCATGTTGACAAGTTAAAACTACGATTAAAGATAATAAGATGGAGCAAGGCATGGGAAATATACAGCAACGACGGCAAGTGAAAAAATGCAAAAATGGGATGACAAGCATCTCAGAGGACAAAGGATAAGATAAAAACAAAGTTAGTGGAAGTAGCCTCATGGTAAGAAGACTGTAGCAGCACTCTGAGTTGCAGGTTAACAGGTTTAAATGCAGACAGACTCTCATCACTCTCAACAGCTAGCATTTTTTAAACATGTTTAAATACTTATTTACATTAAACCTTTACTCCATATGCCACTATACACCTGAGCGTGTGTAAAAAGCACTTTCCTAGTTGGCTAAAATGGTTATCTATGGGTTGAAAGTTTAATATACACACATAATAAGGGGACCCTCTGAGGCAGAACAAGGAACGGGCCAAAGATTGGATCTCACCAACAAGTGCCCTCAACAGGCCACTAATGAAGGTTAACCACAGGTCTTTTCCTTGGCTGACCTCAAACAGACTCTGGAGTTATGAGAGAACAAGAGACGCAGCTGGTAAATTGAACAGAACTTATCCAACAAAGGTTAAAATGAAGGGCAACTGGACTTGGTTGAAGCTACTGGAAGACGTTTCGTCCCTTATCCAAAGGAATTCTTCAGTTCTGACTGACTGGCAGGGAAACTCAGCTATTTAACCTCAGTGGGTCGTTATCCCGGGTCATCGATACCGCTGGTCTTAACGACTGTAACGACTGTCGTCACAGCAACAAGGAACACTAACGAACCAGCGGTATCGGTCCAAAACTAAAAGGGCAAACTGGGGCATTGTGGCTTTGGACTGGGTGTTGAGACCTAGCAACTGCACTCTGGTCTGTGGTGTGGTGGACGGAATAAAGAGGCCAGATGGAGGGAGGAGAGTAAATAAGGAGGCCGGGCAACAGGGAAGTAGGCAGGGACCACAAGAGACAAGGGACAAGATACTACAGAATGAAAAAGAGAAAGAGAGAGCGTTTAGTAGGGAGCACAACAAAGGAAGAGGCACCCCCCAGAGTAATATCGGCTGACCTAAACAGCCTCTCCAGCATGCCCACAAACACAAGAATCCTCACACAGGAAGCTCTCCACAGGCTGCCCTTTGTGTAGAGATGGAGTCATGTTAGAGTGTGGGCTGAGGTTCAGTCTTTACACACTCTCATATCCAGAGCTAGCACTAGCCTTGGATTTGGATTTCAGACAGTGACACACATTCAGACTTGTATTTGCCTACGCACTCACACACCCACCCCAACAACAACAATTCTGAGAAAGATGTGGGTGCCATCATTTGCATTGTGATGCCTTGATTTTTATTCTCATCTGTTTAAAATGAATAAATGCTGTTTGAAAATGAACTTGAAAGAAAAATCAACAAGAAGCCAATGGGAGGCTCTCTGGGAAAGTTTAGTGCCTTTCTGTTCCTGTCGGCATGACTTCAAAAGAGCAAGCGTGAAAGAACAGAGTGATGGAAAGGAAGAAGCATGAAGAGAGGAAGAGGTTGGATATACATAGCAGGCAGAAGGAGAAAGATAGATAGAAAGAGAGAGATTGTGAATGAATTATCACCAGGGGTCGGACATTCTGTATATAGCAATAAGAGAAGAAAGTAGAGGGATTAAAGATGGGGGAGGGGGGGGGGAGCTGGCGCATGAACATTAGAATTATCACAGGCTATGTGGATAAAACAGTAAGTATTGTGTGGGAACCGAGGTGGCCTAATCTTGTACGGAATGATGCAAATTCCCAATAGCTGGAGAGTGTCCCATGAAAAAGGAGGGAGGGATGGTGGTAAATAAGAACTTCTACCCGCCGCCACCACTTCTCCCTCAGAAACTAGGATTTAACCTCCCCACCGCCAGCCAGTCTGCTCGCCCCCACACAAAGCCGCAAAACACTTCTCGTGATGCAACATGTAGAGTAGACCAACAGTGCCCTCCCCGGCCCCGGAGCCTCCAAAACAACATGGCTCCACCACGGGAGCTGCTGCAACAAGACAGCACATCTGGATGTCAGATTACAGAGATAAACCTGAACAAAGGGCAAGGGGAGCAGAAAGAATGAATCATTTGGTTTAAAAGGGTACCAGTACAGATTCTAATAGCTTGCCCAACTCTAAATGACTCCTTGAAACAACTTCAAAAAGATAACCAACTACAGGCTCCATAAAATACAGGGAATGAGCAGTTTCTCCACTGCCATCCATGATAAGGTAGGAACACAGATAGGAAGATTATGTTAGTTATCTTTTAATGCAGCTGCACTTGAAAGTAATGCGGTGATATGGCCAAGCAGTCTGAGCAGTTTAAAAACTCCACTGCATAGGATGACAAAACCTCTCTTGGTATCCAAAGACATTTTTATTTAGTGTCTTACGCTTTGCTGACAAACAATTTGCTCCATATAATTTACATAAGTGGCCATGGTCCTTCATCTGTACCATACAACAACAATTTTGTTGGGTAAAACATTTTTTCCCAAGAACCAGGAATAACTGTCTTTTTTGCAGCGTGATGACCATGCATTTATTTTAGTTTACCCAATGGGTTTTGCAAGGATTTTTAAAGGCCAAAGACCTCAGAGGCCTTTCTCATCTCATCATGAAGACACTGCAAACTTTTAGTTGGGATAAAAACATGAAAATTACCAGGAAAAGAAAAACAAGATGTCAAGTCAGAAAACACGCCAGCATGAAACGCTCCGATCAACCATCAAGTCATGTTTACTTGTAATCTGCCACAGTGGAAGCCAGATTGTTTGTTCATGGATTACTCTAATGTCTTTGTACCTCACCTTACACATACAAAACCAGTTAGATGCGATCCTATAGAGCCTGGTGATCACTCATCTGTCAGAAAATAATGATTCATACCACTTGAAATACTTCAATCCCTAAAACTATTTGAGTTATAAAAATGGAATTATTCTTTACACTGGAAAGCCTTTGCAAAGGCACAACTAAGTACACAACATCCTTAAACTGGCACCAAGAAACAACAACACTATTTAACTGTCAGTGCAGAAATACCTCCTGCAGAGATGTTCGTGAAAAACCAGTCCACAAATTCCACCCCTCACCCTCCAACCACCCTGCTCCCACAGAGGAAACATGCAGTGTTTCTCTAAGCTCACCACATCTTCCCTACAACAAAGTCAACAAACATGCATGGGCACATACTTGTCGAAAATAGGACAGTTCTTATCCCTGAACAATGGCAAGTTTTTGGATCCACCCATGTGTAAGGATTAAGACAAGCTGTTAACTGTTCAGACTCAAATCAATGAACAGCGTAAGACAGGGTGGAATGAAGGGACATGATCATGAAGAGAGCCTTTCTGCATGCAAGAGATCACATCCATGTATTTGGCCGTGATGGAGAGGAGATCAGCAGACACTGGACGCTTGGGAAAGCACTGCTGCTAGCTGTTGCGAGCTGTGAAGAAAAGAGGCGCGCTGAGGTCATGAGTAAACACACAGACTCGTCCAGAGCTCAGAAGAGGGGGGGACTGGAAACACATCTGCTCTGCCTTTGATCCAAACTTCTGCAGCCCAGCACGCCACTCACCTCAGCTGCCCACTCTGTGCCTGACTAGAAAACAAGCGGCCACAATCCTAAACACTAGCTCTTCCTTCCCATGCTGCCCTCCTCGCTGTTGGTGCTGACTCACAATAGGAGAAGACTTTTTATGAGGGACTTGAATCTTCAAATGTCAAGAAAAAACATTGTCTAAGAGATGCCTTTCTTTTGTTTCCCACGGTCTCACACAAACCCGATCGTTTCAGTGGCCGTACCTCTGCAGAGCAAAAGTTGGTTCTAAGTTGTAATAGAACAAGTACAATAGGCTTATAGTCGTCTCTTAAATAGAGCAAATATCAAGGGTGCGCTAAATTTAATGTCGCCCCCACAGATGTGGTCAATGTCAGGGTTAAATTTACTCAACCACTCCATACATGACAGTCATTACTTTAAAGGCTTCAGTATTCTCAAACCAAGACACTTATCTGATGGTCAAACAGCCTGATTTCAGACAGAAGTGTAGTTACACATTTCCATCTTCAGTGTGACATTGCCTCGGTGGGGGAGGGGGATTTGATTCTGAATCTAACTTCATTTTAAGTCGACACATGACATGCCAACATAGTGGTTTTGCCGGGGTTTTAAGAGTGGAAAGGAGCAAACAACAAACAAACTCCTTAGTTTTAAAAAAAATATATTTTAGGGGCATTTCTGCCTTTATTTCAGATAGGATATTGGAAAGAGACAGGACATAAAGGAGAGAAAGAGGAGACGAAATGCAGTAAAGGGCTGCAGGCTTCATTCGAACCGAGGTCGCTGTGTGTGCCCAAGCGAGCCAATTGCAACTACTTATCGATTTGTCGATCTAGAACAGCATTGATTGCAGCTTCTATCTTGTTTATAGGTTACAATTGTGGTTATTACTCCTCCTTGGTTCCAGCGCAAAGCTTGACAATGGCGTTAGTCCACCTGCAGCACTTGTTGGATCACTTTTTCAGCCGAGAAGCCGCTGGACACTGACCAGGTGTGTGGAAGTGAGAAAGTAAACAGTGTAGGGCTGACCCCTAATAGTGAAAGATTCGATGCTTCAATGGACGGAGCCTGATTCGACTGTCAACCTCACAGTGAAGCTTCGCAGCAAAACAAGGATCATGCCATTGTGGCGATATGGGGGTGCTCAACGTCTGATTTTACATAGAACTGATAGTTTTCTGCCAATAAATTAAATTCAATAAATGTTTTTAAAGTGCGTAAATAAATCCAAAATTGTAACCCTAACCCTGGGGCGTCTGTGTGCATGTGTAGGCCAGCGTGTACGTGTGTGGTAGCAAAAGAAGAACACTTGCTGAAGAAACAAGCGGAGGCCCAGTTTCACTGGTGTTGTGCCGAGTTGTCCACACCTCGCGGGACTTTTGGATAATTTATCACTGTCGAAAAAGAAGGTTTTATTGACCTTGAGTACAGAAAAAAAACAATAATTGGTATCCTAGATCCTTGTACAATACTGGAAATGACTAAATCTCACCATCTCCTCTTCTAACTGAACCACAGCTGAAAATGTGACTAATAAGAGCGCACAGTATACAAGAGACATTAAGCATGCTCAAGTGTGGGAGAGAGACGTTGGCTTTTACAGGACAAAAGGCCAACCATGATGTCACCTTAGTTCCCTCACAACATAACCCCCTGACCTTGTGAGAAGTGCTGATTTGATGAGTCTACATTTCCACTGCGGTTAAGGATTTTTGTTCAACAAGTCCCACAAACCGAATCCTAACAACAAAACCGAAACCTCCCTAAATACAGGGAAATGTGGCACTTTTTTGGGACTAGCAGGCTGGTGCTGTCAAGAGTTGTGGGATAAAAGACCCTTTCATAAACATATGACCAACTTTGACACAGAACTCTGAATACCCCATTATTTTTAGGCAGCAACATTATTATGCCTTACATCAGTTGTGACTCACTGCATAAACGTTTTTCATTTTGGATTTTCAACTTTCTTGGCAACATGTTCTTTGAAACACTCCCCTTCTGACAAATTAGAACACAGCAAGGGACATAAACAAATAATTGTTTTTGTCATGTGAAAAACTTTAGCCTTGCTGTCTGGTATCTTTCCCTTACAAACCACGTTTGAGGTTGGACTAGTGAGAGCTCCACCGCAAGACTCCCACCCTCCAATTCCCTCTGCTTGTACTATATGAGCCCAGAGAACCACATCCTGAAGAAGAGGAACGCAATCGACAGCAATGCCTCCTTGAACTGGAAAATTGGTTACACAATATGAACTTTTCACTGACGACTGTGTTGCTCCACTAAAAATATTACAATCACTGCTTTCATTGGAAGCCAAGCTGTGGAGAGAGCAGAGACATTTCAAAGGGAAACAATAGCAAAAAACCCCATAGAAAAACAGCAGGCCACTGATCATGGGATGTGATGGGAGAGATGTCCGTCCTTGATGTGAGTGCCAAGGTGAGAGGCTCCACTACCATTTCCCAGAATACTCTTGGGAGTTTTGGATCAAATGAGCACTGACCAAAGGATAGTTGTCTGTAATATGAATGGACAAAAAAGAACTACAGTAGCCATGACATGGGTAAGAGTACAACATAATATACAGAGCAAGGACTCTTACAGGGAAATACACAATTTTATCTGAGTCCAATCAATTAAGACACATGGCATTTAACTGCAGAAATTTAACTGAATTATCCCTTAAAACCCAAACAATGTACATGTAACAGAATTATGAAGTGAGTGTTGCTGTAAAATAGAATATATTAATGATATTTCTAAGTATTTATAGGCAGTTAAAGGGTAGACAAAAAATATTATTTTGATAGGAGATTAATATTATGTTCTGACAATGTCAATGCCACAATGAGCTTGGATAAAAGGAAATAATTCAGCTGTTTCTCTTCCCTGCAACATTTTTCCAAAAACCAATCTTGAGTGGTTAGTATCTAGACGTTCTCAAGAGCTAAAATGTACAAAATTAGCTTTGGCTATATTTTTGACTACCCATTAATGTTGAGGTTTCCAACAACCCCAAGTTTGAGACAAGAAAAAGAACTAAAACTGTACAGCTGGGGTGAATTGGCAGATTGTGGGATCAAGGACTTTTCAAAGAAGGGGTGACTCTGCAGCTTTTGACCCCACCTCACTCCACCCAACCCCCTGCCATCCTCTGTTTCCCCCTCACTAGGTTTCTGAAAAAGCCCTGGCCAGATTCAGAGCCACGACCCATCCTCCTGCACCCCTCACGTAAAGAGGATCAGCATATATAAAGTGAGAGCACAATTTGGCAACACATCCCTATAATAACACACAGACCCTTGCAGGACTTTTTGCCAGGCGACTGGAAGAGGAAATAGAGGAGTATAAACAGCACTCACCGCAGCCAGGCTCGGGTTTCCATGGAGCGCTGAGGCATCCTCTGGACAGCTCACACACACAACATAGCGTTCAGGAAACACACGCAAATCTGAAGGCAGGCAAAGAAACAACACAGACCATGCTAGTTAATAACGTGGGCTCACCTCTAATTATGAGTCAGTCAGACAGAGGGAATTGTGGTGGAGGTTTGAATTTACATCTACATACACCAAGTATTTACTATCCCTCAGACCAAGGAGAAAATGGCAGTTCACAGATAATTGCTGAGCTTTATGAGCCGCGTAAGCAGCATGAAATATTAGAACATTTTATGTTAACAATGGCTCTTGGGAGTAATATGACTGTTTCATCGGCTTCAAAGGCAAAGACCATTTACAAAAACAATACTATTACATCTATTATATCATAATAATAATAATAAATCTAACCAACCTCAACATATCACCTCAACTGGTCTTCCAAGCTGACCAATATCAGATATATGGCCTGATACACAGCCTCCTGTATGTAAAGAACTTGCAGAGCAATGGAAGACCAAAATATGCAACGTTACTCTGTCTTCTGCATCGTCAAGAGTATCATGACGACGTGCTTAATGACAAACAGTAACTTCCTGTGTGAACAAATGAACAGGCGCATTGGCAAAATATTACAACATTGTTCTTGCATTCTTAAACTGTTCAAAGGTTTTACAGTAGTGTTGAATTTAGTCAAGCTCATATTCCTCCTCAATGGCCATTTTAAAAACATTGGTTTTGCTTCAGTTGTATGGATTAGTGGTTTATAAACACAGCCAATGCAGGCACAGAACTTGCATATACAACACACTAGCAGTAATGTACGCGTACCTTGTGTGGGGCACATAAGAAGAGGAATTTTCAGGCCACTATCAGGGCAAACATTTCACTTATAGACAGACATGCAAATATACTGTATATAAAACATACACATGCTTTTGATCTTGGATATTTCACATGCTTTTCTCTTGAGCCCCCAACCAAGTCAAAATTTCAAACAATGATATCGCCTAATCTAACAGGCAGATTGCCATGAAATTAGCTGAGCACATTTATCCACCGAATGAAATAAATCCTGCCATTTTAATGACCTCCTGGCTGTTCCTGTAATGCCAACCTCAGGACAAACTTTATAGTTTGATCATAGCCTGGGAATAGGAAAAATGTCAGTATGTTGTTTGTTCCTCTCAAAATGTTTGTGTTGTGAGGAAAAAATTTAAGGAAGCTAAATGAGAAAATACTTCTGCATTCTGATTCATTCTGACTTATTATAGCAACAAAGTTTTAAAAAGTCCTATTGTGGTCTAGCTATAAAGTCTTTCCAACAGGATTTACACTTGCCATTTTGCAATATATAACTAGCCAGTCAGAATGAAGACTTTAACCATCTGTTTCATAGCTAACTGACATTTTTACATGACCTGACCACTATGTCCAGCTAACTCGGTGGACCGAATTACACAACCTTTAACCCCAGACTATACTGGGTCTAATTTGAAGTGTAACGGACCTGCTGAGAGAAGCCGTCATCTCAGTCTGCAGCAGGTCAGTGCTGCTTTAACATCCAGGCCCCTATGGAGCAGATATTAACTTTACTGACAGGAAGAGAGCCATGTTGGTCCCATGAAAAGGTGGCCAAGGGTCACAAGCACTAGATGGGCCATGGAGATAGATTCTCATTGCCCTCCATAGACAGCTCTCCAATATTTCTCTCTCTTACTCTCAGTAGCCTCTCAAGGGAACCACTTAACGGCTGCCTGTTTTCACAAACACCCCAAGCAGGTAGGGACAGGACATAAAAACAAGTGAGGGGAAGAAAAATCAACATGCAGACCACAGATGACTTGCTCTTTCTGTGGGAAATCTGGCTGAGTATGAGTTATTGAGATGTCTATTCCTGATTCATCTAACCGGGAATTGATTTATTGAAAGCATGTAGGTTATGTACCCCCATAAAGCTGCTTGAGAATACATCTGAGGTTGAAGTGCCGCTTCAGAAAATTGGCGACCAGGTTGAAGTTTTTCCCTATAAAAACAAAACAAAACAGAAATACAGTTAAAAGTAAAAAAGAGCAGAAAGATACCCAAGTAAAACAACTGTACATGACACCATTTCCAAGGCTTGAAAAGGTGCAGGTACTGACACCAGTGGGGACATTTGGATGGGACTTTCTGGATGGTGTGTGCTGGCATTGTTGTCATTCCCTGATATTACTCAGATATCAGTTATTCATAGACTCTGTAAAACACGGATATAGCCCTATAGACATCACATATAAGTTTCTGAAGAGCAATTGTGAAGCTCAACGTGGGAGGCTCACCATCTTGGCAGTGCTTGATTCGCCTAATCCAAAAATGGGCAAAGCATCTTCGCAGCGGAGGCAGCCCGCATGGAGCCTGGTTGGTACCCACCTCAAAGCGACCATGTCCTTCATTATGCATAACTTTAAACCTTAATATAATACAAACAGTTGACTTATATACATCTAGTTGTAATGAACAGGGAAATTAGCTACAGAGACCAAAACTGTTTTTTTGTACCAGGCTGTAAACATGTTTATTTCTGCTGTAATGCTGGGCATTTTAATATGAAGATTGACCTGTTTTTGGAACCAACCTCATGTGGCCATTCGAGGAATTACAGTTTTTGGCACTTAACTTTTCAGCTCCGGAGGTTGCTGCTTGCCTTTATTCAATTTATCATCTTGACACAAAACAGCCACTGTTGGCATTCAAATTATGCAAATGTTATTCAGACAGTGGAGAAGTGGTCTAGAGATCAAACTTGTAGGAATACAGCAGCTGTACTCCCTTAACAAAAAACAACAACGCCTATTCCAACACATTATTGTGATGTTAGTTGTATACGCCTCAGTCTAAGGGCCAGCATACTACAAAACCATTAATTTAACTGACCTCCCAGTTTGGCACAAGCAGAGAAACCATGGCCCGGGCCTCTGCTCTATTTGTCATGGAATGTTTGTCATGGTATGTAAGATGTGCTGGGCAGAAACAGCGGCCTGTTGCCTAATCTGGTAGGAATTTATTGACTTAAAGCAAGGGCCTGGCTAACACGCTATCCAATTGTTCTTTGTAAACAAGACAACGGTGCTGAGAAGCTGACAGAGCACGCTCACCCTTTGGTACCTTCGTCTTCTTGATACAGAGAATATAAAACTATACCCTGCTTGACTTTACTACCACCTCTGTATTATTTCTTATTTGGTATTCTCACATTGCTGTTGCCGTGTGAAAACCTCATTACCGCCAATTATGGGGATTTAGTATTTAAACTTTAATTAAGGGATTACGTGTCTTCCATAGTTTGAGAAAATCCTGACCTCTTGCACCCAAGGCGCTTTCAGAACTCCCTGGATAATGTCAAATATGCAGTGTCATCCAGCTAAAAACTAGGCTGTCTTTGTCTCTGAAAAGCTGACATTTTGGAAGTCGGAGATTTTTGCCCGTCGGCAACAACACTGATCACCCATAAAACTTGGGATAACTTGGAAATGTCTCCCCTTAAAGTCGACATACAAGTAGGACAAACGCAGTGCTTAAGCATTAACATACAACACAGAGCAGACAGCATGTTAATAGTATTGGCGCGCGCATAAGTGTGCCTTTGCGAACATTCCCCTTTCTGTTAGCTGATGCCACTCAGCACTAACTCGAAGTATTTAATTATAGTCTTCAAAATGAAGCAGTCCTATGATTCTCTGGATAATGACATGCAATTACAGTGACAGTTTGCCACAAAACTGCCACAGGTATATGCTTAAGTCCACTGGCCAGTGATAAATGGCCAGCTTTCTTTTTCCCTGTGCTTGTGGTTGAATTCGCAACCAGGGCCACTACTTTAGTTAACACTATTTATACTTGCAAAAATATAATAATATGCATAACTTAATGGCGGGAAAAAGTGCAGATAAATGAAACTAAATCGAGAAATCCAAGGTTTATTAAGGCTTAGATAGATAAGATAGATTAGATAGATGTTCTATTAATTCACATGGTGAAATTCAGGAAATACTGTTACTATGAAACTAAGCAATTACAATCAATATTTTTCTTAAGATAATAGGGACAAATTATTACCTTTGTGACAGGCTTGTCAGTTTAGCACCTATGGGAATGAATCTGATCTTCAAAGGCTATTAAGAAGAAATTCGGCCTCCAGCAAACTCACATGTTAGACAATGATGGACAGTTTAGCCAAGATTTGCGAAAATACATTAAAATCTCTCAGAGACAGAACAAAAACAAATATCTATCCGCGTAATAAAAAGGAGATTTATCAGGAATAAGCATTCATTTTGAGAGACTTGCCATTAAATAACAAAGCATGTTTGTGCACTTTGCTATGCATCAGTTTCACAAAGTCTCAGTTGATTACAGTCGAGCCTCATTTACATTTAAGTTTCAGAAAAAAGATATTTGTCATCCCAAATTCCATGATAATAATAATATCAACAACAATAATGCTACTACTACTACTACTAATATACTACTAATATCTATCTATATATCTATCTATATATATTGTCATATCAAAGAATCTCATCTTACTGGCTCAGTAATTGTTCATCGGCCCAATTATTTTTCAATAATCAGGGACACCAACTCAAAGCCTTTACCTAGCTCTGAGCATATAAAACTCTACTGGCTTTATCTGCTTCAGATTGGGAATCCCTGTTCTGCAGCAAGAGGGCCATGTGACAGCTTAAGTAGGGATTTATAGGAATCATTTTACATCTTGTTTTGTCAACCAAAAGCTCAAGTAACTATATAACTAACTCTATAAATATAGCATGGGTGTAGGTATAATGACAGTGAAACATTTTCTGCAGTATTGGCTCTGTACTATATCACGGTGGATTTGCAAGAAAACAATGACTATGCGCTAACATTACTTGCACATAGTCATTACTTCATAATGTAGTACTAGTAGACCATTTTATCTATAATGCAACTGAAAAATAAACATAAACTTACATAAAATAAAACATTTGGTATTTTGGCTACAAGTCCTTTGATTTCAATGACTGCCTTAGAGGTATAAGCCGCAGACATCAGCTTAGTAGCTTCCCCAGCGGTGCACTTCCAGGCCTCTAATGCAGCCATCTTCTGTTTGTGGTTATTTGGGGGGATTTGAGGGCTTAAGTCTGATCTTCAGCAAGTAAAACACATGTCGGATTGAGGTCAGGTGAGTGACGTGGCCACTTCCAAAAACAACAAAAATGTGTCACTGTCCAAATTCTTACGGACTCCACTGTACAGGGTGGACATCTTCTTGAACCAGGAGACACATGTTAATGTTAGAATTATGGGTACATATGCTATACCCCTCCCCCCCTCACTGAATGCCTTTAAAGTTGGGGGTCCTTGGAAATCTATCCCTTTAATACTTGGTGTACATAAAGTATGCGGTAATACCAGATATGCCAACAAGCTTTAAACAGAGTGCTTCATTAACATTAACACACTATATGGTATGTTGAGAATGTTTGTCATAAATAATAGCAGCATTCCTTTATTGGAAACAAAAATTCAGATACTGGTATTCTTTAAAAAGGAAAGCAGTAATCATGTATCACCCAATCTGGATGTCGACCCAGAGAAGAATGCATATTTGTTTTCTCTGCCCTTTCTGTGTCCAGGAGGGACCAGGAGGCAAGAATCTTTCATTGCACAGTCACGGCTTTCTATGTTTTCAGAAGCTTTGATTTAGTCCGTTAGACTCTTTAGCCTCATGTCTACTTCCACAACTATTCTTTTGCTTTCCCTGGTGGGTTGAGCTTGCCAATTCCCAGGACAAGTTTGACGGGGACGTCTGGACATGGAGTTGGGAACCAGTGCAACACCATGGCCTGAGACATCAGCTGTTGCTCCAACTTTATAACGTCCTGCACAGCGCAGAGTTGCTTTTGGCCCTCTGCCCGGGTTCTCTCGTGCTAAGCTTACATTCATGTTTCTCTCTCACAAACAGTGTGCTAGTACCTCCTCTGGGGATGAGTGGCCCCTTTCTGTGGCAACTGTAGCCCACAGTGGTGCAATACCCAAATCTGTAGAGTAGAGACTTTAAAGAGTTTCATTTGTACTTACTTGAAGAGAAGATGGTCTTGCTTAATTGTTTTGAAACCCAATGCACAACAATATTATGACAGGTCAAATCAAACAGTAAACAAGCCAGCATGCCATGTTTTCAGAAATGTGGTTGATAATATCATAATCGCATGAATGGAGATACTTCTACCATCTTGTAATAAAGCGCAGGACAACTACAGTAAAAAGGCGCACACACACACACACACACACACACACACACTTCCTGGGAAAACAATGAGAGGAAAGAAAAGTCAACAAACCAAAAGGCACCCAGTGACTAGGACTGTAAAATGGAACAGACGGGTGAGAGGCATTCAGACCAGGGTCAAAGGTAAGCCCCCATGGAACAGACTTCATTAACTTCAGTCATATCCTGAGGAGATCATTAAAACAGCCATAGAAAACATAGCCTACTTCTTCTCGCCATCCGCATTCCTGGCAGCCCTTGCTGTTGTGACTCCTGCAGGAATCCATAAGAATTTGTGCTCTGATATTCCTTTTCCTGACCAGGGGTGTTGGACTCGGGGAGGGAAAGGGGACTGAATTTACAGGGCCCTCATGTGTGGAGGGCCAACAAAGATACTAGAACGAATAGCCGTGGATGCGGGGAGGGGCCCATAGAGAATGATTATGTACAGGTCCCTGATTTTTGTGTGATGGCCCTGTTCCTGAATACAGTGGGTCCAGGGCATTTTACAAGAATACTTCACCGTCTTCGCTCAGTGCATTTACACGCACTCAGTTTATCTGAGCTTTCTGCAGTAACCTTCTTTAACAATGTAAAAGAGTACGTTTCCATAATCAAGGTCAAAATAAACCTGTTTAACACAGCAAAACCTTTACTGGAGGAAACCAATTTCATGGCCATGGATGTACTTAACTGGGTTTCTAACAGGATTCATTCCTGGAAAGCATCAT